TGAATGAAACAATTAGAAAAAAACCATTAGGATTTTATGTACAAAAATTTCCTCTAAATCTCTTAAACTAACTTAATATATATATATATATATATATATATTCATATTCATATTCATATATTTAAGCCTACAAAGAATTATATACACCAGCTACTACCAGATACAAAGAGTTGTATTTTGTGGGTTGTGGGAAAAAAAAAGTCTAGTATTAATTTTTTATTTTAAAATAAACACTATCCAACCAACGATTAAGATCAGGAAACAAACATTCTTACTCTTATTGTGAGCCATTAAATTACATGACATAAATATGAATTATGATGGGGAAGTTTTCCAATTATTGAGCCTGAAAAGGATGAACAAATAAAAGTGTCGCCGCATGTGACTTCATCAAATGCTGATGATTATGTGACTAACATTCACACCATGTTCAATATTTTGCATTTCGGGAGGGCGATACACCCATGACATTTGTGTAAGATTTATGTTTGACGAATATCAACTGTTTACTTGGACGACTAGCAACCTATTTTTACTAAGAATAAGATGGCTGGAGATGAAGGGTAGAAGGAATGAATGTATGGACAACGATTAGAGAGAGGTAGGGAAGAGAGAGGGATCAAAGATATGAAACCCATGAATTGTTTATGTTGTTTTTCTTACTTTTTCGTTTTTAAATGTGTTATACAATGTTTGGAAATTGAATTTTCTGTTGTTCTTCTTGTTTCAATCTATGTGACACCATTTGATTGAATATGTGAGTTTTATATTTGTGCCATGTCGGCCATAAGTGGGCCCTAATTATGCCACATATACAAGTGGAATACAGGGAACAAGTTAAGAGTAGAGTGAATATTGAGTTTCAGAGAGTAAAATGACAACTTTTGAGTTTTATGAGGCAAAGTGAGGTTGAAATCGAGTTTCAGAGAGCAAAGTGGTGTCGTTGAGTTTGAGGGAGAAAAACGCAATCAAAATCAAATTTTCAAGAGTAAAACAACGAATTTTGAGTTTTAAAGAGCAAATTATGATCAAATTGAGTTACAGGAAGCAGCATAGATAAAATAATAATAATAATAATAAAATAAATAAATAAATAAATAAAGGACTCTGCCATTGTTCTCTCCGCTCACCGATGTCACAGACCAATCCATCCCTGATTACCGTTGAAAACAGAAAAATAAAGCCAAACTTCAGGGTAGATGCCTCGGTGGTAGGCCTGGCATTTTGGACCCAACCCGTTAACCCGACCCGACCCAACCCGTTAATATTTGTATTTGGGTGGATGCTTAACGGGTCGGGTTGGGTGAACCCGTTAACAACCCGTTAAATAACGGGTCACTTTGGGTCAACCCGTTAGACCCGTTAGAACCCGTTAACACCCGTTAGTTGAGGATATTTTAGTAATTTTAGTAAAGTCTTAATAACAAAAAATAAACTTTATGCAAAAAAATAAATAATAATAATTGTTAACGGGTGAAACGGGTGACCCGTTAGCTTAACGGGTCAGGTTCAACCCGACCCAAACCCAATAAACCCAACCCGTTTACAGGTCTACTCGGTGGCAGAACGTAACACTTTACACCCCAAAACTCATAACTTTACAAGCTGAATTACTTTGTGGCTTCTTCTTTTTTTCTTTTTTCTTTTTTTTTTCTTTTTTTTGAAAATTGGGCTGCAAGTTTTATAACTAACAACACATAGTTACAAGAGAGAGACTCACATACAACACAAACACAACAACAAAAGTATGGACCAAAGTACAACAAAACCAAGTCCAACAGAAAACAGAAAAAAAAAAAAAACACCGAACAGCTTGCATCCTCTGCCGCTGCTGCCATCCGAAGGACCTCCAGACTCGAACTAGTTGCCAAATCGAGCCCTGAAAATGGCTAAAAAGAAGACTTCAACAACCACCAAAGAGCACATTGAAGATCTGCACCACAAATCGAAGGAAGCTCACAGGAAACAACCCACAAGCAACAGAGGCAACAGAGGCAACAAGGCCAAGTCGAGGCAAGAAGGTGGTGACAACACCTGAGCATCAAAAAAATCTGAAGCTTTACACATCTCCCTCCTAAATAGGAATCGCAAAGATTCGCATTTACGATGTGGATTAGTGGAAGCCGACCTAGAGGATGAGAGTACTGGAGGAGTGAGCCAAGTGGAAAGGGTAGGGTGTGGAGTAAGGTTGGGCAAACGAGTCCTGGACCCGCGGGTAGGGGCGGGTAATGCAGGTACAGGGCGGGTACGGGGCGGGTACATATATTGTAAATTCAAAATGGGGCGGGGCGGGTACAATTTTCAAATAAAGCGGGCCCCCGGCCCAAACCTTTTCCACCGTTCAATTATAGGGATTGAATCCTCACCGTTTATTTTTAACACAACCACATTTCGAGTCCCCGACTCCTCTCGACCTCAATCTCCAAATCCAGATCCAGACCAAAGTCCTCTCGAGTCCTCCACTCATTTCGAGTCCCCGACTCCTCTCGACCTCAATCTCGACCTTGACCTCGATCTCAACCTCGACCTCGATCTCAACCTCGACCTCGACCTCGACCTTGAATTCTTCGTTTTAGCAACCATTTCCAGCTTCCAGAATCCAGATATCGACGCCTCCAGTCGTCAGGGGTCTGTCGGTCGCCAGATTCCTTTCCTATTTCAGCCATGCCCGGGAATGACGACGCTCATCCGAGAAGGAGAAGAACCTCAAGCTCTTCCTCAAAGTCAAATTGGACGAGCGCGTGGCCAAAAACACCATCACCAATATCGCCAGCCTCACCGTCGTCATTCACGAGGTACTCAATCGTTGATTTTCTTCTTCTTTTGCTGCTTAATTTTTGGGGTTTTCCGATTTAAATGCATGCAATTCATAATCCCGTGGATGTATACTTTTATTTTACCTATTTTGTTGTTCTTGAATAATTCCAGGCCGTGCTTACTAATGGATCCAGTTTTCATATTTGTCTCCGGCGGCTCTTCAACTGGGAGTCTGGTGGGATACTGAAAATTAAAGAGAGAGAAAGAGAGAAAAAAAAAAAAGAGTACTCGTTGGACCCGTAGGAATCGGCCCGTTTTATACGGGCCGGGTCCAGTTCTCATTTTCAAAATAGCAAAACCCGTCCCGCCCCGGCCCGTTGTATTTTCAAGCGGGTCTGGTCCGGTCCCTCCAATTTTAGGCCCGGCCTGGCCCGTGCCCAGCCCTAGTGTGGAGTGATGAAAACAAAGTAGGTGGAGAGAAGAGGAAAGGAAGAAAGGGGAGTTGAGGAAGGGAAACTAGAGGCAGCAGTAGAGTAAAAAACTAGCAGGGACAAAAGGAAAGAAAAGGAAAACAAGAAGAGCAAAGAGCTACCACCAACCCTAGTCATAGCTAGGATCAGTGGCAGCGAGGAGGAGAACAGAAGCTGGAGATGCACTCATACGCAGACGGTGAGAAGAACTTTCATGAAGGAAAGGAGAACTCTCACGAAGGAGAGAACGAAGTTCTCTTTTGTATATCGAAGTGGAGGTAATCTTCTTGCGGAAGATCGATGTAAACATTTATTTGTCGTCAAATTTAACCTCAGCTTACCGAACCGATTGTCTACTTATCTGATTTTTTTGTTTTTTATCAAAATTCGCTCTCTCAGCTTAAGGAGAGTGTCTATTCAAATTTAATCCCAGCTTACCGAAACGATTTCGATTTCTAGAATTTGATCGAATGGGTGATTGACGCATGAAGAACCTTCATGGGTTCATACCATTTGAAAATTTGGATTTTAGAGTTGGATTTGTAGGTTTTATACCATTTGGGTTTGGATGATTAATAGGTCAAAAGACCCATAACTTGGAATTTGTGTATGATGATTTGCAAGGGTGAGTTCTTCTGAATCATACAATAAGCAACTTAATTTGATATCGAATTCGTTATCCACGAGATTTGAACCTTAGATTAGAGGTGCAACTTAGGTTGGGCCAATCCAAACCCGCCCATGTCCAACTCGACTTTAAACCTGAACAAGCGGGTATTTTTTTAGTTATAACCCGTCCGAACCCAACCCAATTTCAACCCGTTTATTGATTGGATTGAGTTGGACTGATCATTTGCCCATCCATCCCCAACCCAACCCAACCCGACTAACCAAACTCAATCTAACCAGATTGTAACCTATATCAATTAATGCTCATACTACACCCAAGTAAGCCAAGTCCAGCGCCCTTTCTAATATTTTTTTAAAGAAAATCCTTTTATAATTACTTAAGCTTTTATGTAATAAGAGGCTTTGATTAGTCAGCTGATATTCGTAGTCTCTAAATCCTAAAGCTTTAGAGTAGATTGTTAGTCTCCAAAACCTAAATTCATTGTGTCTCGAAGCAATTGCTCAGCAACTTTGATTGATTTATGAATTTAAAGTTAGCTAGCTTTGATGCTACTTGGCTCAACTTTTTTATGAATTCTTAAAAACTAAGTTGTTACAAGATTAAACTTGAAAAAGTTGGGTAACCCGAACCCAACCCAAGTGAACCCTAACCCAATTAAACCCGAGCTAAAATGAACCCGAATGAAACCCAACCCAAACCCGAGCCCGAATTGTAAAAGTTGGGTTATGATTGAGTTGACCTTCCAACCCACCCGAATTGCACCCTTATCTAAGATCTCTCACTTCCAAGCGAAGAGGAATCCCACCAGACCGTAGTACTAAGTAACAAAATATCAAAGTTAAGACAACTTCAAAATTAGTAAATAAGGCAGCTGGGAATTTTCGACTTTGAAGTGTTTCCTTTGTAACAATGATAAAATTCAAAGTGAATTTGACAAATGGCTCGGTTAATTCCGGACTAGCTCGCCCAAATTTGACAAGTGATAAAACTCACCACTCAAAACTCGAAAGTGGTGAATATCTTTAGACAAGCTCGCCCAACTCATGGTCTGGTAAACCAAACTACATCGTACAAACATCCGTTTCATGCAGGCATTCCAGAGATACCTCCGGAGATAACGACACCAATTACATATGTTTTCAAGTGAAAGGAAGAAAATAAATTTTAGGGATAATAATTGAAAAATTAAAACACTATCATTCACAACGACAATCCATATCCAGAGATCCCAGAATGCAAAGACAAATGGCTTTCACACATAATATCCATCACATCCCATGCAGCAACAACTTTGTTTTCAAACCAAATTCACCATGACTTCAAATTAAATTGTAACTGTCAAACAAAAGAACGAATTCAACGTGAATTCCAGTTGATGCAAGCCAAGTCTCCAAAAACAGCAAATCACAGGAGGCAATTGGGGAGATAATCAACTCACCGAGGCACTTAGAGACCCTGCTCGATAAGGTAATCGCGCAGCCATGATAGAGTAGACCCATCACGTCAATAGAAATATCAGAGTTAAACAAAATTAAACATCTGCACCAATAAGATATTATTACATGCTGCACAAGACATGAAATTACAAAATCTCTAGGCTGATGCATAAAGTTATTGACTTGTGAAAACCTAATTCTTTGTTTGATTGGAAAAAAATGTACCGAGTTTTACAGTTTGAGGTAAGCATGATCGAGTATCAAAGCTATTTATACATGAATATCGATTGACTTACAGAATCCCCAGATTGATCAATCCGGTTCTTCACTTGGGAAACACTATAGCCTTCACTTCCTCGGCAACCAATAAATTCCAGCACTGCTTGCTTGAACTTTCTTGTGTGTCTATGCCAGAAGCATAGCGAATGTTTGATCCTGATTTCAATAGTAAGGATTTACAGGAATCAAGGCATTCACCAATCCCTGCAGCTGCAATAAGGATTTGCAATTTCCGCTGATGGCAATTCAAATAAACATCAACATCCATAGGTCTCTGATACAAGAGACCTCTACTAGCAGCCTCCTCTAAAAGCAAATGAGCCACAGGGAAAGCACCATAGTTATTTGACGTTTTTTTTAATAAATCTGGACATATCACCATATTCGGTATCCCATGGATTGGCTTGATCAGGACATGAAACAGAAGTATCAGTAGAATCTTTGCTTCCCAATCTACCAGCAACAATAGCTTTGTAATAATATGACCGATGTCTCATAAGAGAAGAACTTGAGCTTTTCACAGAGCTTTCCGATATAGTAAGCATGTGACCAATCTTGCCTGATACAGAAGAATGCACAGACAGATTACCATTTGATTATGGCACACGAGGTTGTTGGTTTTTGTCTGGAAAAATGAAACTAGGTAGAAAAGAGGGCATACTTATGAGAAAAAGCTCTGTTAAAATGTCTCGTTGATTTCCCACAAAACATCGTCCATGGCATGCTGCATCCTTCACAGATACAACAGTTCGCTGATCATAAAATGGCACCACTCTGATGGATATCATGGTACACCAATGTTAATAACTTGTGTATCTCAAGACTGAGCCACAAAATGAGAAAAATCATCACATTGATCAATCAAATCCCGAGGGTATTCTAATATCCAAAATCAAAGCAAAAAAAAACACTAGCTTTTTTTCTTGTTTGCCTTAATGGCATTGAAAAAAATTAGGAAAATCCCAAAGGACCTGTATGGCCAACATGAGCAAGAAAAAGGAAAGACAATACCCCACTCCCCACCAATACAATAATACATAGGAAAGAAAGGGGTCTAACCTGCTGAACTGATGTCTTTGCCAGAGCCAAACTCATTAATAGACACCGTCTACTCCTCCTTCGACTTGTCTCAACTCTTTGAGGTAATGTAGCATTCTTCCTCCATCCTGCCATCATTTAGCAACAAGTCTACTTCCTGTAAACAGGATCATTATAAAATGAAACTTTTCGACACAAAAATCTTTGGGTTTCTACAGAATTCACAAATCAGAATGATAAACAACAAACATGCATCCATATAATGTTCAGTTTCTTTTGGCAATTCGATACACTTCCTTCCTCCCATGTTCAATGGGATTGATCACTTCTATCCTTTAACTGCACAAAATTTTAAGTTGTGGGTATATAACTATGTATGAATAGGCAAAGCTCCATAGCAAATATAGGAGGCTTATGAATTGGTCCAATGGCATAAGGGAAAACAAAAGATGAAGAGCATAGTCAGATGCAAAAGATGATGAGCCTTAGTATAACATTACAACAACAACAACAACAACAAAGCCTTTTCCCACTAAGTGGGGTCGGCTATATGAATCCTAGAACGCCATTGCGCTCGGTTTTGTGTCATGTCCTCCGTTAGATCCAAGTACTCTAAGTCTTTTCTTAGAGTCTCTTCCAAAGTTTTCCTAGGTCTTCCTCTACCCCTTTGGCCCTGAACCTCTGTCCCGTAGTCACATCTTCGAACCGGAGCGTCAGTCGGCCTTCTTTGCACATGTCCAAATCATCGGAGCCGATTTTCTCTCATCTTTCCTACAATTTCGGCTACTCCTACTTTACCTCGGATATCCTCATTCCCAATCTTATCCTTTCTCGTGTGCCCACACATCCCACGAAGCATCCTCATCTCCGCTACACCCATTTTGTGTACGTGTTGATGCTTCACCGCCCAACATTCTGTGCCATACAACATCGCTGGCCTTATTGCCGTCGTATAAAATTTTCCCTTGAGTTTCAGTGGCCTACGACGGTCACACAACACGCCGGATGCACTCTTACACTTCATCCATCCAGCTCGTATTCTATGGTTGAGATCTCCATCTAATTCTCCGTTCTCTTGCAAGATAGATCCTAGGTAGCGAAAACGGTCGCTTTTTGTGATCTTCGCTAGATTGCTCCGGTCATTAGTGTGGATAAGTATATATAAATGGATAGAGATAGGAAAGCAAACACAAGATGTACGTGGTTCACCCAGATTGGCTACGTCCACGGAATAGAAGAGTTCTCATTAATTGTGAAGGGTTTACACAAGTACATAGGTTCAAGCTTTCCTTTAGTGAGTACAAGTGAATGATTTAGTACAAATGACATTAGGAAATATTGTGGGAGAATGATCTCGTAATCACGAAACTTCTAAGTATCGGAGTGTGGTGTCGTCTTGACTTGCCTTATCTGTCTCATAGGTAGATGTGGCATCTTCTCTGGAAGTACTCTTCCTCCATCCAGGGGTGGTATCTTTAACTGGTGGAGATGCACAAGGTAATGTATCAATTTCACTTGAAGCTTACTTGTAGTCTCAGGCTTGGTCAAGCGCGATACAAACCATGTAGTAGGAGTCTCCCAAGTCGCCGAGCTAGGGGGTCTGCTGAAAGAGGTGACAGACAAGGTAAGCAATCAGAGCTCCGACTGATTGTTCACCTTCTCCCCATCTTGCAGCAGCATGAAGGATAAAAAGAAGAAAAATGAGAAGAGATGATATGAGATACTTTTGCTTTTGAAGAAGTAACTTTCCACAGGCTTATTCTTGAACTGAGCTGGAGGGTTTTCTGGTTTCCTCCAGAGTATAAGGCCGACTGAAGAATTTGAGGGTCAAAACAAGTCCATCAAATCTAGAGTACGTTCCACCCTGCTGATATGGGATACTTTTGCTTTTGACAGAGTAATGGGTGTATCGGCACGTGTGCTGTTACGCTTGTCTCCACATGCTTCCTTGTATCCTTCGCACTTGCCCTATCTGTTCCTCAAGTAGATGCGGAATCTTCCCTGGAAACATAAGATGTTGAAGATGAGTACTCGAGAGCAATGCCAGGTAAGTAATCAAGTAAGGGGTTCCAGGCAGTCAGTTCCTGGCTGGAAGCTTGATCCAAGTGCTGACTGATTGCTCTCTTTCTCCTTGTCTTGCAGGTAAAAACAAGGCCAAAGGAAAAGACAGGGAAAAAGCATGATATGGGATACTCTTGCTTTTAACCCTGATGATATGAGATATTCTTGCTCTAGTATAGCTTGTTTGCAGAGGTATTATCGGGGGGAAAGAAAGCTGAATATTTCGAAAGGCTTCGTTGGGAGTGCCCTCTCAGATATGATGAAGGGTTGAGCATTTTTGCAGGTCTGCCTGTCCGTTGGGGATGGAGGTCGACATATATAGGAGTCTCCCTAACAACAAGTAGTAATGCTATTCCTTTACCCTGCTTGGTCATAGCACGGTAGTGGGAGCTGCCAGTTTCACATGTTTTAACTCTGTCAGAGCACTTTGAAAAAGTGGTTTGTGGTATCTGGCTCTCGAGATTCGGAGAACGATGCCTCTTCGATTTTTGAGAAAGCAATCATGCTGGGGGTCTGGCTCTCGAGATTCGTAGAGCAGTGTCTCTTTGATTTTTGAGGAAGTAATCATGTTGGGAGTCTGGCTCTCGAGATTCGGAGGGCGGTGCCTCTTCGATTTTGTAGCAAGCAATCCTGTTGGGAGTGTTGTCTCGAATGTGAGTAAAGGTTGGGCATGTTTGCTAGTCTACCTTGCCACGAAGCACAAAGGTTGACACACAGAGACTTTCCAATTATCCAGCAATGGTACTGTTCCTTTACCCTCTCTTCGCTTTTGAGAAAGTAGTCATGTTGGGAGTCTGGCTCTCGAGATTCGGAGGACGGTGCCTCTTCGATTTTGGAGCAAGCAATCTTGTTGGGAGTGTTTTCTCGAAAGTGAGTAAAGGTTGGGCATGTTTGCTAGTCTACATTGCCACGAAGCACAGAGGTTGACACACACAGGGACTTTCCAATTATCCAGCAGTGGTACTGTTCCTTTACCCTTGTGGGTAATAATATGGTAGCTAGACCTTCAAAATTTATGTGTCTAAACTTTGTTAGTGCTGTTTCTTTGCTATTCTTTTACCTTTCTTGGTCAGAGCGATGTAGTGGGAGCTGCAAGCTTCACGTGCTCAACTTTGGCAGAGAACTTTGGCAAAGTTATCTGTGGTACCCATGAGCTATTGTTGCGTGTGGGAAGTGGGTGATTGAACAGTAAGATTCATGTGCTTTCTACTTCACCAAAAGTCTTCGACAGAAATTCCCATAATTTCTGCAAAGCTGAGTGTGCGTGTGACAGGTGCTGACAAGGCTAGAAAAGTAGGTGCCTCTTCGATTTCTGAGATCGGCCCTCGTGGTCTCTGAGCAGCCCAGCTTTTGAGAAAGCGAGCGCCTCTTCGATTGATTCGGAGAACGATGCCTCATCGATTTTTGAGAAAGCAATCATGCTGGGGGTCTGGCTCTCGAAGATTCGGGGAGCAGTGTCTCTTCGATTTTTGAGAAAGTAATCACGTTGGGAGTCTGGCTCTCGAGATTCGGAGGGCGGTGCCTCTTCGATTTTGGAGCAAGCAATCTTGTTGGGAGTGTTTTCTCGAATGTGAGTAAAGGTTGGGCATGTTTGCTAGTCTACCTTGCCACGAAGCACAGAGGTTGACACACAGGGACTTTCCAATTATCCAGCAATGGTACTGTTCCTTTACCCTCTCTTTGATTTTTAAAGAAAGTAGTCATGTTGGGAGTCTGGCTCTCGAGATTCGGAGGACGGTGCCTCTTCGATTTTGGAGCAAGCAATCTTGTTGGGAGTGTGTTTTCTCGAATGTGAGTAAAGGTTGGGCATGTTTGCTAGTCTACCTTGCCACGAAGCACAGAGGTTGACACACAGGGACTTTCCAATTATCCAGCAGTGGTACTGTTCCTTTACCCTTGTGGGTAATAATATGGTAGCTAGACCTTCAAAATTTATGGGTCTAAACTTTGTTAATGCTGTTTCTTTGCTATTCTTTTACCCTTCTTGGTCAGAGCGATGTAGTGGGAGCTGCAAGCTTCACGTGCTCAACTTTGGCAGAGAACTTTGGCAAAGTTATCTGTGGTACCCATGAGCTATTGTTGCGTGTGGGAAGTGGGTGATTGAACAGTAAGATTCATGTGTTTTCTACTTCCCCAGAAGTCTTCGACAGAATGCCCATAATTTCTGCAAAGCTGAGTGTGCGTGTGACGGGTGCTGACAAGGCTGGAAAAGTAGGTGCCTCTTCGATTTCTGAGATCGGCCCTCGTGGTCTCTGGGGAGCCCAGCTTTTGAGAAAGCGAGCGCCTCTTCGATTTCTGAGATCGGCCTTCGTGGTCTTTGAGCAGCCCAACTTTTGAGAAAGCAAACGCCTCTTCGATTTCTGAGATCAACCCTCGTGATCTCTAAGCAGCCCAGCTTTTGAGAAAGCAAACGCCTCTTCGATTTCTGAGCAGGCGCCTCTTCGATTTCCGAAGCTCCGTCGAGTGCAGATTTTTATAGAGGCTGACATTAAGTTCCAAAGCACACTTGAAATCCACCAGTAGAAGCTTCATTCTTGCACTTCTAAGATCTTGATTTGTCCGACCTCTTCTCTCTTCAACACCTTTGAAAATGTCTGGCCCCTCCGACCGTCGTTTTGACTTGAACCTTGTTGAAGAGGCAGCCCCGCCTTCTCCAGACAACATATGGCGCCCATCCTTCGTCTCTCCTACTGGTCCTCTTACCGTTGGGGATTCCGTGATGAAGAATGATATGACCGCTGCGGTGGTGGCCAGGAACCTTCTCACTCCCAAAGATAACAGACTACTTTCCAAACGGTCTGATGAGTTAGCTGTTAAGGATTCGCTGGCTCTCAGTGTGCAGTGTGCAGGTTCTGTGTCTAATATGGCCCAACGCCTATTTGCTCGAACCCGCCAAGTTGAATCCTTGGCGGCTGAAGTGATGAGTCTCAAACAGGAGATTAGAGGGCTCAAGCATGAGAATAAACAGTTGCACCGGCTCGCACATGACTATGCTACAAACATGAAGAGGAAGCTTGACCAGATGAAGGAAACTGATGGTCAGGTTTTACTTGATCATCAGAGATTTGTGGGTTTGTTCCAAAGGCATTTATTGCC